CTGCTCGAAGCAGGACCAATTCCCAGTTAAATCATCCCAGCCAGGGCTTTGTCAAGCCTGACCTTAAAAACCTCTAAGGAAGGAGATTCTACCACCTCCCTAGGTAACGCATTCCAGTGTTTCACCACCCTCTTAGTGAAAAAGTTTTTCCTAATATCCAATCTAAACCTCCCCCACTGCAACTTGAGACCATTACTCCTCGTTCTGTCATCTGCTACCATTGAGAACAGTCTAGAGCCATCCTCTTTGGAACCCCCTTTCAGGTAGTTGAAAGCAGCTATCAAATCCCCCCTCATTCTTCTCTTCTGCAGACTAAACAATCCCAGCTCCCTCAGCCTCTCCTCATAAGTCATGTGTTCCAGACCCCTAATCATTTTTGTTGCCCTTCGCTGGACTCTCTCCAATTTATCCACATCCTTCTTGTAGTGTGGGGCCCAAAACTGGACACAGTACTCCAGATGAGGCCTCACCAATGTCGAATAGAGGGGAACGATCACGTCCCTCGATCTGCTCGCTATGCCCCTACTTATACATCCCAAAATGCCATTGGCCTTCTTGGCAACAAGGGCACACTGCTGACTCATATCCAGCTTCTCGTCCACTGTCACCCCTAGGTCCTTTTCCGCAGAACTGCTGCCTAGCCATTCGGTCCCTAGTCTGTAGCTGTGCATTGGGTTCTTCCGTCCTAAGTGCAGGACCCTGCACTTATCCTTATTGAACCTCATCAGATTTCTTTTGGCCCAATCCTCCAATTTGTCTAGGTCCTTCTGTATCCTATCCCTCCCTTCCAGCGTATCTACCACTCCTCCCAGTTTAGTATCATCCGCAAATTTGCTGAGAGTGCAATCCACACCATCCTCCAGATCCTTTATGAAGATATTGAACAAAACCGGCCCCAGGACCGACCCTTGGGGCACTCCACTTGATACCGGCTGCCAACTAGACGTGGAGCCATGGAGTGTTGTAATTGTAGGAGTCCTGAACCAAACAGGAATTGTGTGTGTGGGGGGGTGGGCCGGGGGGCGGGGGTGTCGCAAGGCTATCGTAGGGGGGGTTGCGGTCCTGCTACCCTTACTACTGCGCTGCTGGTGGTGGCGGGGGCGCTGCCTTCAGAGCTGGGCAGTTGGAGAGCGGCGGCTGCTGGCCGGGAGCCCAGCTCTGACAGCAAAGCTGCCGCCAGCAGCAGCACAGAGGGGTGGCGTGATCTGGAATTGCCACCCTGACTTCTGCGCTGCTGGCGGGGCCCTGCCTTCGGAGCTGAGTGCCTGGCCACCAGCTGCCACGCTCCAGCCACCCAGCTCTGAAGGCAGCACAGAAGTAAGGGTGGCCCCCCTAAAATAACATTGTGGCCCCCCCGTAACTCCCCTTTGGGTCAGAACCCCCAATTTGAGAAATGCTGGTTTCCCTTGTGAAACCTGCATAGTATAGGGTAAAAGCACACACAACAGATTTCGTGCTGGGAGACCAGATTTCACGGTCCGCGACGTGTTTTTCATGGCTGTGAATTTGGTAGGGACCTAACTATGAATCAGAAACTTTATTAATTTGAATAGTAGCAGAAAAAGGAATATGACTGTACACAGCTGGCCTGCTATGTCTAAATAAGTTTCTCTTATAAATGCTCTTCCCTTCTACACCACGCTCGCTAAAGGACATTGGTCCAAGGTTGGAGCTACCTTGCATCTTATGCTGTCCTAGCAAATAGCCTCTGAATTTGAAATACCCTCAGAACTAAACAAAAATCCCCCTGACTTAAAAAACAACATTCGAGCCATAATTTTGAAGAACTCCTGCTAAATTCCTCCGGGTGGCTCTGCTGCTGCTTCCTGATGGAAGTCAGAAAGACTGAACTTTACTTTTCAGAAGCATGTCCTCATGTTTTGAAAGGACAACAGAAATATCTAAGATTTCAGAGTAATAGCCATGTTAGTCTGTATCTGCAAAAAGAAAAGAAGGACGTGTGGCACCTTAGAGACTGACTAATATAAATCTCCCCACTGTCTTTTCCACTGAATGCATCCGATGAAGTAAGCTGTAGCTCACAAAAGCTTATGCTCAAATAAATGTTAGTCTCTCAGGTGCCACAAGTCCTCCTTTTCTTTTTGAGAAATATCTAAGAGTGAGCAAGATACTCTGACCCCTTGAAACTATATGGATCATGCTGGTGCATGAAAATTAAGCCACCTGTGTTCTATGGAATGTAACTGAGGCTACTCTAGGACAAGATTTCTACATTGGGTCAAAAGTTCATCTTTATGCTTCAAAATTACATAAACTGATGAATTACACAAAGCTCTAGTTTGTATGTAGGACAAACAGAATTTGTTTAAACAAGCCTTTAACAAACACCCCCCTCCCCCGCCCTTTTTTTTTTTTTCCCTTGGCCGTGAACTCTGCTCATTCAAAAGAGACAACAGTAGCACTGATGGTGAATTATTCACTTCTCCATTGTTTCCTCTACTCTCCTGTGAATTAAGAGCAATAGCAAAGATTGTAGGAAAACCCAGAGCTCCCTTGTTTTCACATGGATGTCTCAATTTTAAGTGCCCATGAAGGGGAGGGGAATACTTCAAAGCCAAGTCTGTAACTTCGCAGTAACGGGGCACCAAGACTCTATTTAGATTTATAACAACCTGCTCTGTTTTTTTTTACAGTTTCAAAAACAATCAAACTGAAATCAGCAGTTGACCCACAGGTAACTCAATCCGCCAACTGAAAAAGGAAAAAGTCTTCAGCAGACCCTTCCTCCCCCCGTCCCAAGCCTGAATGAAAAAACAGGCCTTGTGTTTTGTTTTACCGTTTTTGAGGGGGAGATGAGCAGGGGCTTGTCACCATTCCTCTGTCAGAGGAAGAGATTTTTCTCATTCTTTTGCAGGAGGCCAGTTGAGAGCGGCTCTCTAAACTTTAGACAGTGCCCCCCTTAAACACGAAACAAACAATGTAACTTCTTCCAGTGCCTGCCTTTTGTATTTACACAGGAACGAATGATGTACATTGTGAACTGGGCTTTCTAGACTCGGAGGCCAAGATTTTCCAATGCAACTAGTGATTTTGGCTGCCTGGCTTGAGACATGTCAAAAGGGCCTGATTTTCAAAGGGTGAGGTCTTAGCATTTCTTGAATATCAGCCCCCTTTCAGATATCTCAATAGGTCCCCAAAATGAGTAAAGTTGCTTTTGAAAATCTTTGCACACGTTTTTTTTTTTTAAACTGTGTAGCTTATTTGCCCTCTTCACAGATTTCGGGGAGGTTAGCAGGTGGATCGCAAATAGGCCTTGCAATCCTGCTGGGCTGTGTATGTTTTGCTTCACAGCCTATCCTGAAGCCCCATGGGTGGCATCTCATGCTCCTTGTGGGAAGAGATTTCCCCCTCAGCTCATCCAGTTGAGCCCTGTGTTTTTGGAGTGGGAGGATGGGGGTTCCCCTGCAACTGCCACAGGGTACTGCGTGGCTTTGGGGCACAGTGTCTTGACAACTGTAAAAATCCTCACGTGGCCCTGGATTTGTTCCAATAGCCTGACAAGGATTCAACAGGTGGGACACGGAGCGTTTGTCCCAGAGCAACATCCTCCTGTTTCTGTTCCCCAGACGGCGGATACAATTTTCACAGTCGCGGTTGAAGGGCCAAGCCTTGTGCTGTGCTATGGGACCAAGGGTGCCCGGGGTGGTGCCCATGGGGCCAGTTTGGTCAGTTTCTAGTCACCATTCATAGTTCTCATTTCATTACATACATTTATTTTATTCTCTAATTCTTGTCCCTCGATGGGAACCTTTGGGCGGGGTGGGGGCTGGTCCAGACAGGCCTGAGCCGCCCCCCCCCCCGCCGTTCATTGGTCTAACCAAACTCTCCCCTTCCCCACCCCCGGCCACCTGCGTGACCCTTTAAACAACTTTGCCGACACCTCCCTCCCTGCGGCGGGTTGTAACGTCAAACAGCAGCTGATTGGTCAGAAGGCCCCCGAGTTATGATTTGATTGGCTAATACCGCCCCGCCCTAGGACGGAACGGACTGCACCATGTGCTGAGAAGGGGGGGGAAGGGTTAGCGGCACAGTATGCCATCCCTAGGGAATGGGCGGGGTTGGGACATCCCCGCTCGGGGGCGCTCCGCTGGATGTATTACTCTTCGGGGCGGGGCAGCTGGGTCTCTCCGGGAGCGGCAGCCCGTGTCCCGCCTCCCCCCCCGAGATGGTACAGCCCGGCTCTGGGGGTCCCCGGCCTGGCGTGCGCAGCGCTGGGTCTGGCCCGTCGGCTCCGGCTCCGCGCTGCCCCCGAGGCGATGCTGCTGCCCCCGCTGCGGAGAGCGCTGCTGGGCTGCCCCCGCGCCGGGTGAGTGAGGACGGGGCCTGCCGGGGGACCCCCCCCCGTCCTCGCGGGGAGCCCCCGGGGCTGGGATCCGGCCCGCTGGGGGGTTCCCCCGGTAGCGCCCCCCCCAGGTGCTTGCACCCCCCGGCGTGCGGGGTCCCGGGAGCTCCGGCCGCCCCCTTCCTTCCACGTGCGCCCAGCCCCCGGGCGCCCTGCCGGGCCTGACGTTCCGCCCCTTGCCGCGGCGTGAACTGGGCCCACGGGGCAGCCCCCGTCGGAACCGCCTCTGGGATTGACCCCCGGGCAGAGCCAGAGCCGGGATCTCCCTGCCCGTCACACCCCGGCTGCCCTGCCCGCCCCGCCGGGAGGGGGTTGGATCTGCCGGACCCCTCCGCCCACGCAGGAGGCTCCTGGTCGGAGCGGCCCCGTGGCCCAGCTTGCTCCTGTCTCGGGCTGGGGGGTCCGTCGGCAGGTCTTGCCGCTGCCCCCTCAGTCTCTGCAGGAGGGGCCGGGCTCCCCCCGGCTCCGTGACCTCAGGGTGCGGTGGGAGCAGCTGCCGGGGACAGACAGACACACACGGACGGACACACGGACGCAGTGGTGCAAAACTGGGGGGGGGGGACGACGACTGGAGAATCTGGTGGGCGGATTCCCTGGGACGCCCGATCTCCCCTGGATTTCCTCCTTCCCCCCCCCGCGGCACGTGCTCCCCTTATCTGCCCGACACCTCCGCTGCCGCTCCGCTATCTCGGCTGGCGAAGGAAGCCTGCGGCTTATCTCCACGGCCCGAGATAGGGAAACGGCAGCGGGTCAGGTCTCCCCCGCCCGCCCTTCTCCTCTTCCCGGGGCTTTCAAAGGCTGCCCCTTGCAGTCCTCCCTGTGCCTGTCGCTGGTGCCCCACCCAGCTCAGGGGTGACCCCGGCCCACTCGTGCCCCCCTTGTGGGGCTCGGCGGCCTCTCCCGGCTCTGGCTCGTGCCACACCTGTGCCTGGACCGCCCCTTCGGAGCCAGCGGCTTGTTGGCCGACCTGCGGGTGCCGCCGTGGGGGGTGGCTAGTGTGGTATCACTGGAAGGCGGGTACAAGGCCAGGTTTGCCTGGGTGACTCCGGGGTTGTGTTGTAAACATGTTCCCTCCGCAATGAATTTAACTGGCAGCTAGGAGCTCCAGGACTCAGGATGGCAGGAGCATCTTCTTTTCCTATTTTCCCCTGTCAGGCAGCATTCCGGTCAGTTTCCTGCTCCGGTGCTATGGGGTTTGTCTATGCTGCACAGTTAACCCAGGCTCTTGCCTGGGTTTTAGTCTTTAACTCCCCTCATGTCCACATAGGAAAACCTCTGACCTAGGTTTGGAGGTGCTGTAAGCCTGGCCTAGCTGACCCATCTGAGGGTGTGAGTTGGAACCCAGGCTTTGCTTTTCACTTGGGCGGGAACCCACCTGCTTTGCGGTAAGTACACCGGTTAAATCACTTGACTGCTGGTTGTCCTCCAACGTCTTCCCACAATTCTCCCCAAAGGACAGACAAGGTCTCCCACAATTAACTGGGAAAGTATCCTAGAGCATCTCAGCTCACAGAAGCATGGGCTTTGCCCCCAGGCAGAGACAAGCGAGTGCAGAGCCGGTAAAGGCACAGTAACATGGGCAGGGCTTTGCAGTGGGGTCACACTCACACCCATGCTACGCTAACCCAAGTGTTCAGACCCAGGTGCTGATCACACCAGTTAAATGTGCAGTGTAGACACAGCCATTGCGTACTCTGGTCCCATTTGCGGGGGATGAGCAAAGTTCTGACTCTTGATAGTTACAGCTGAAAGACTAGTGAGATTAGCTTTATAAAATAAAAATATTTATTAAAAACCTAAAGGAATACAAACAGGGAATTTTCCACAGTTTTAATAACATCATGTGTATGATGGTGTCTTTGATTTGATTACATCCAATCTAAGAAAATATAAATCTCTTCAAAGTAACTCAGCCTCCCTCCTCCTAAAAAATATAGGCACATTTGAATCCCAGTATTCAGGAGGTTTCAGTCTGTCATTGCTGTGGGTTTGTAACAGATGTGGACAGCGCAAAGCGTTCTGAAAATCCTCATTCAAATAGTTCCAGAACTTACCATATTGGCTTCCTGAATTTCCTCCTTCATGTGTTGAATAAAACAGTCTTACAAAAATGGATCAGATTTTGTTCTATCTTCTGTAGTTGAAAACATCACATCTGAAGAGCTGTATGGGAGAGTTGTCAGGAATCCAGCATGCCAAGGGGGCAAGTTTTTTTGTCACGTCTGAATTTCAAGAATTTCACTCAGTTTGTACAGTGAAAAAACAGGCTGGTTTGTTTTACTTGTTCGCCATTTTCACTCTTTGTTGCTTCTCCCCAAGCCTGCTGTTGCAAGGGCCGGGCTACAGGCACTGCCGGGGAATGTTTTAAATCCAGACAAAATACTATTTCCAGTGGAATTACAACCAAACAAACTGGAGAAATGTTTCTCTTCGTCCAAAGTTTTGTCCCATCATCCTGAGGTTTTGTCACATCTAAATCAGTCTCTAAGTGAAGCTTTAGAAGGAAAAGTGTCCAGCAGCAGAATTGATGGTATCCGTGCAGGGTTCTAGTATCTACCAAACTTCCAGGGTCCTTTCTATTTCTGTTGCAGGGTTGAGCTCAGAGGTAGTCAGAGGTAAAGGATTTGCAGCAGTAGCTTCGTGTTTCACTTTGTCACGGGACATGGGCTGAAGATAATGTTCTTTGCTGCTTCTAGAGTGGGAAGCCTGATATGTGGCTGCGATGCTCTGTCTTGATCTCAGCCAGGCTCTGCCTCTGTCAAGACTGAGCATTGCCCACTGCGAACTGTAGCATCAGAGGATCACACCCCTGTAGTAAAGTGGTCCTGGCCACTCTTGGTTTACAGGCCAAACTTGGACCATCCCTGTGCTAGTTACTGCCACTAATTAGTCTTTCATGCCCTTTGCTTTCTCCTGGCATACTTCTGCCTTCTCCCCAAACCCACTCCTGGGTCAGCATCTTTTCTCTCTCCAGTACAGGGCTCCTTCCCCTCTCTTTGGCTTCTGGTGGTTTGTTTTCTTTACTGCCACTGGGAAATATTGCTACGGTGCAGAATTTAATGCAAGACTGGGCCTGAGAAATTACAGCACCCAGGTTAATCTGCAGCTACCTGTTGAAGCATGCACTGTGCTGACAAAAACAAACCTGCCCGTCTTCTGCCCCCTGTATTTTGAACTCTTCTAAAAGCAGGAGTTGTGGTGTAGCTCGATCACTCCCATGTGGAAGATGGTGCATTCTGCAGCATAGAACCTCCCACCGTGCTGGGATGTTGGTTCCATAGCAACTCCAATGGAATAAAGCCCCCTACTGAATTGCCAGCATCTTCCTGCATCAGTCTTCCCTCCTTGGAAGTCTTCTGTCTACTGGATAAAGTTGCACTGGTTTAACTTTATATTTTTCTCCCCGCATGCATTGTCTTCTTTTGGTTTATCTTGGGTCGTATGTGGGACTAATTAAGCTGCGTTGGAGGTGATGTAACTCTGTTCTGGTAGGAATTACACTGGTGAAGGGTTTGTGTGGGCGTAACTACACTATTGCAGTTAGTCCTCCTGTTGGCATCCCATAGTGCATTGGTTCACACCTGGCCTGGCCTGCCTGGCTATCTATGCGCACTCCGCTGCTCTAGGAGTATCCAGACAGGATGTCCCACCCCTGTTCAAATACCACTGGCACATTCCCTAGAATCTGCAACTCTAGGTCATTGCAGGGAGAGAGGAAGGATGGTCTAGTGGTTAGGGCACTAGCCTGGGATTCAGGAGAGCCAGGATCAATTCCCTTCTCTGTCACAGACTTCCAGTGTGACTTCCGGCAAGTCACTTAGTCTTTCTTTGCCTCAGTTCCCCATCTATAAAATGGGAATGATAACATTGCCTTCTCTCCTAGGGGCGTGGTGAGGATAATTACTTTAAAGTGTGAGGTGCTCTGATACTGTGGTACTAAGAGACCATATAAGTCCCTAAGATAGATAGAAGGACATGGATCTAGACTCCACATCAGGAGGTCCTGGACTTCCTTGCCTCCTGAGGAGAGGACACTAAGTGCTGACTAGCCTGACCCTGTCTAGCTTATGCACCAGATCACAGCACAAGGCTGCTGGCAGTACTGATAAGGCAAAGATGCAAGGGACAACATCACCGCTTGGTGGTGCCAACAGAGGTTCCACTCGGGCTGTACTTTACCCTGGCAGAAGGGTCATTTTCCTGGGCTCTGAGAAGGCTGCATGTACTTTATCAATAGGGTGGCAATTCCGGAAGTCTCCAGGGGTCACGTGTCACTGGGTGAAGTAGACGCCTTCTCTGCCTCCAGGTTACAGAAATGACCCCTTGTTCTGATGATGCTACACGGGGAAACTGAGCACTATTGGGGACCACACCCAGGATTGTTGTGCTGCTTTGCTGGGTGTTTTCGAGGGATGCTGTCGGCTGGAGATCTAAGGCAAATGTTGGCTTCTGAGTCCCACTGTCTTTTAATGAGATTTAGGGTTCTGAGGGCCTGAGTCACTTTTGAAAATAAGACTTAGGCCTTGTTTACTTTCTTTTAGATCAGCCTAGCCATGTGGCTCAGTGCTGTGAAAATAACACATCTTGGGTGCTGTAATTAGGTTGACCTAAGCTCCAGTATGTGAATTCTTCCATCAACCTAGCTACGGCCTCTCAGGGAGGTGGATTGCCTATGCCAGTGGTTCTCAATTAGGGATACGTGTACCCCTGGGGGTACACAGGTCTTCTGGGGGTACATCGACTCATCTAGAGATTTGCCCAGTTTTACAACAGGCTACATAAATAGCGCTAGTGAAGTCAGTACAAACAGTGACTTGTTTATACTGATCTATATACCAGACACTGAAATGTCAGTACAATATTTATATTCCAATCAATTTATTTTATAATTCTATGGTAAAAATGAGAGAGTCAACTATTTTTCAGTAATAGTGTGGCTGTGACGCTTTTGTATTTTTCTGTCTGGTTTTGTCAGCAAGTAGTTTTAAAGTGAGGGGAAACTTGGGGTACGCAAGACAAATCCGACTCCTGCCAGGGCTACAGTCGTCTGGAAAGATTGAGCACCACTGACCTGTGCCAAGGGGAGAGCTCCTCCCATCGGCGTAGCTAATGTCTGCACTGCAGCTGTGCCATTGTAGCGTTTTACGTGTAACCGAGCCCTCAGACAGGTGGATTAATGACGACGGAAAAACACCTTCCGTTACCATAGGAAGTGTCTGCAGAGTTTGGAGTGTAGACAGCTGATGGCACCGAAGTAACTTACTTCCTTTTGAAAGTTCTGCCCTAAGTCCGTTTCAAAAAGCAAGTTTAAAAGTAGTTAACCCTGTCACCAGTCCTCTTGCCAAATCTTGTGGCTTTACAATCCCGTTGTCCTGTTCTTTCAAAATGGCTTTTCTGTCCCCTGTTGCTGCGTGAAAGACCCACACCATGCATGAGAAGCTAACTAGGTAGTGAAACTAACTACCCACAGAGTGCCGTCAAATATACACAGTAAACCAACTGGGAAAAAGAGAGGGAAATTATTTATTTATTTACGTGCCACGGCACCTAGGACCCCAATGTGCTAGGAGCTGTACAATCACAGAACAGCAACAACAAACTTCTCCCGACCTCTTTCAGCTCTAGCCACAGGAAGTGTGATCTTCCAGCTGACTGTCTGGTATAGCATGTGCTGCTGACAGTAATAAGGAATGAAACTCCACAGCAGCTCCTCCGTGGACGCCCGTCTCACTTCACCGGCCAGGACAGCCACGGTATAGATTGAATGAAGAAGTGTGTGGCTTCTCAGTGTGTCTCTCTCTTTCCCTTCCCAGGCTGCGATGGCAACACCGTATAGCTGTAGAGGTGACCAACGAACCCATTCTGGAGTTCAAGCAGGGCAGCCCGGAACGAGCGGCTCTTCAGAAGGTACTGTCCTGAGCAGTTTGTTGCAGCCAAGAAACCGCCAGTGTGGTGTGTGTGATCTTCCAGGCTCACTCTAAAGAGGTTGATTCTTTAGCTGAAGTGGTAGGACACCCATCCCAACCCCTGATGGTTACCCTATTGGGGACAAGCCTTTTGCCCACCCCACTTTTTTACTCCCCCCCCTTAACTCTGCAGATGGCCCCCATAACACGGGGATGTTCTCAGTCTGAACAGAGCTTGGTACTGGAGAAGTCCAAGGTTTCCTTTCCCTGGGACGTGAGCACAGTGCTGGTCTGGCAGGCAGGTTCAAGAGGGACCATGGATCTTTGGCAGGGCCATTCATAGGACCATCAGGTCACCCGGTTTGCATGTGTTGTCGGGGAGGGAGGCGGATCAAAGCCACGGCTGGCTGGATACCCTTTCCATCCCCAGGGGCTGCCTTCCGTTCAGCAGAGGGGGAGCTGCCCGGCTCTCACTGGTTCGTTTCTGTTCTGACTCATCCGATAGGCGCTAAACGATCTGAAGGGCAAGACGGAGGCCATCCCGTGCGTGGTGGGGGGAGAAGAGGTGTGGACATCAGACGTCAGATACCAGTTGTCGGTGAGTCCCAGTGGGGAGCGCCTGGTCGCTAGGTGACCCCTGCACGGGCTGGCAAAGCCCTGGGAATCTGCAAGGAGCCTCTCTGACATGACGGGGAAATCCCAATGTGGGGCAGTTTTATTCCCTTCCTGGAAGACATTCCCCTCCCCAGGGATTGCTGCCACTCGTTCATGTATTTCTCCCTCCGGGGTGTAGTTCTACCTAGTGTCCTTATTAAATGTTGCCTTGTAGCAAACCGGCCCATTACAGAAGTGAGGGCCCTTTCCCTGAGACTTACGAAAAGTGAGCACGGTAATGGACAGATCTTTGGGGAAGTCCCTCATGGGAATTGCCAAACTGGATCAGACCCACAGTCCCAAATCCTGTCTTTGATAGTGGCCAGTACCAGCTTAGGAGGAAAGTATAGGAACCCTGCCAGAGGGAAATAGGGGATAATGTGCCCCCCACATTGGTCATAGAATCATAGAATATCAGGGTTGGAAGGGACCCCAGAAGGTCATCTAGTCCAACCCCCTGCTCGAAGCAGGACCAATTCCCAGTTAAATCATCCCAGCCAGGGCTTTGTCAAGCCTGACCTTAAAAACCTCTAAGGAAGGAGATTCTACCACCTCCCTAGGTAACGCATTCCAGTGTTTCACCACCCTCTGAGTGAAAAAGTTTTTCCTAATATCCAATCTAAACCTCCCCCACTGCAACTTGAGACCATTACTCCTCGTTCTGTCATCTGCTACCATTGAGAACAGTCTAGAGCCATCCTCTTTGGAACCCCCTTTCAGGTAGTTGAAAGCAGCTATCAAATCCCCCCTCATTCTTCTCTTCCGCAGACTAAACAATCCCAGCTCCCTCAGCCTCTCCTCATAAGTCATGTGTTCCAGACCCCTAATCATTTTTGTTGCCCTTCGCTGGACTCTCTCCAATTTATCCACATCCTTCTTGTAGTGTGGGGCCCAAAACTGGACACAGTACTCCAGATGAGGCCTCACCAATGTCGAATAGAGGGGAACGATCACGTCCCTCGATCTGCTCGCTATGCCCCTACTTATACATCCCAAAATGCCATTGGCCTTCTTGGCAACAAGGGCACACTGCTGACTCATATCCAGCTTCTCGTCCACTGTCACCCCTAGGTCCTTTTCCGCAGAACTGCTGCCTAGCCATTCGGTTCCTAGTCTGTAGCTGTGCATTGGGTTCTTCCATCCTAAGTGCAGGACCCTGCACTTATCCTTATTGAACCTCATCAGATTTCTTTTGGCCCAATCCTCCAATTTGTCTAGGTCCTTCTGTATCCTATCCCTCCCCTCCAGCGTATCTACCACTCCTCCCAGTTTAGTGTCATCCGCAAATTTGCTGAGAGTGCAATCCACACCATCCTCCAGATCATTTATGAAGATATTGAACAAAACCGGCCCCAGGACCGACCCTTGGGGCACTCCACTTGATACCGGCTGCCAACTAGACATGGAGCCATTGATCACTACCCGTTGAGCCGACAATCTAGCCAGCTTTCTACCCACCTTATAGTGCATTCATCCAGCCCATACTTCCTTAACTTAAAGGGGGCTTTTCTTTTTTGAATACAGACTAACACGGCTGTTCCTCTGAATACTGTGGGAGACCGTGTCAAAAGCTTTGCTAAAGTCAAGAAACAATACATCCACTGCATTCCCTTCATCCACAGAACCAGTAATCTCATCATAAAAGGCGATTAGATTAGTCAGGCATGACCTTCCCTTGGTGAATCCATGCTGGCTGTTCCTGATCACTTTCCTCTCATGCAAGTGCTTCAGGATTGATTCTTTGAGGACCTGCTCCATGATTTTTCCAGGGACTGAGGTGAGGCTGACTGGCCTCTGTAGTTCCCAGGATCCTCCTTCTTCCCTTTTTTAAAGATTGGCACTACATTAGCCTTTTTCCAGTCATCCGGGACTTCCCCGGTTCGCCACGAGTTTTCAAAGATAATGGTCCCAGAGGAAGCCACCCTTACTGGGACCAGAAAGCACCTCCTTGGAATTGCAGTCTAAGCTGTTCCCCTAAACCATCTAGGGGCCAGCGCTGCCTATCCTCTCTGGGTGGCCTAGACCAGGGCTGGTGCACACCATTCAGTCCCTGTCCACATAGGCAAAACCAAAGCACATTGCATGTGAGTGTCCCCAACACGGGTTGTTGAAGCAGGACCCAGGCGTCTGGGTGAACTCAGCAGAAGGTGAATGGAGGACGCTTTGGAGCAGGGTGGGTCCATGGGGATGGGGATGGATACGCACCTTCTCTGCCTGGGTTTGAGCCCGGGTGAATGGGGGATTGTTCTATATGCAGAAGTGTTGCGGGGGGAGGGCAGAGGGTGTGTGTGGAGTGGCATGGGAGAGGAGGGGGATCTTTACAGCATTAATCACCCCAGGCTCTCCTCCTTTCAGCCGTTCAATCACTCGCACAAGGTGGCCAAGTTCTGCTATGCGGACAAGGTGAGTGTGGCCCAGGGTTGTGCCCAGACCTGCCTCCCAGCATCTGACCTGCAGGGAGCAGGCTTGAGGGCGTGTGGTCATGGGAAACCGAGCTGTCCTTTGCCAGCCACAGACTAAGCCTAGGGAGGTTTCCTCAGAGCCTGCAGGTGGAAGTGACGCTTTTACCCCCGCTGCTTTAATGAGGCTGAGCTCCTAACACAGGGCAGCTCTGTGGGCCTCTGGCTTGCCTGCTGTGGGTGCTTTAAACCACATAACCTCGGATAGTGCCACACGCTGTGTCCGCAGCCTCTGGGCTTGCGCCCCGCACAGATCCATCCGCGCCCCTGCTCCTTGCTAGTGCAGCTGGGGGAGAGTGGGGCTTAGCTGCTTAAGATGAATGTGGGGGGTAAAGGCCGGTGCTGTCATCCAGCTGCTGAGTCGAGTCACCTAGGGGGCTCGCTGCAGAAAGCGGGGGAGGCGACTCCGTAGCGGGTCGTCTTCCCTCAGAGATGGCACTGAACCAGAGACCCAGCTGGATGCTGAATGAATTGTAAAATCTAGGCCCACAGTCGCAACCGATCCTGGAATGGGGTGTCCTGGCCAGATCCCAACTTGGGTTGTTATGTCGGCAGAATGCAAATTTCCCTAGCGGTTTCGGCTGGACATGGGAGTCTTCTCCCCTTCCTGCCCTAAAATGGTTACATGGTATTAGACAGCTGCTGCCTTCCATGCCAGAGATGGTTGCATTACAATAGTGGCTGAAGAGACCCTGATATTTAGTCCTTCCCTACCTCGCACTGGGATTGTGCAGCTTGGGGGGATGTATGTACAGTGCTTTGAGATCCTTATCAGAACACACAGTAGCAGTATTTATTTAGTGTTGCAACCATTAGCATGGAAACAGGAGAATCCGCTTGAGTCTGGCCTGCCTGCCTGAGAGGTTCTTGAACCCCTGGTGTTCAAAGTCCCGATGAGCCCTGGCATAATTCCAAGCTCACAACTGCGGCCTGCAGCAAAGTCTTTGGGTTACTGTTGGGACTGCGTATGCAGTGGAGTTGGGGTGGGGCTGGTTCTTCACACCTGCAGCCGCTGATCTGAGCCATGAGGCTGCGGCGAGCCCCGGGGTGGGGCTGGGGGACTGAGTTTCGGGGAAGCACTGATCTGTTGTGCTTCCATCTCCTGCTCCTCAGGACTTGCTTAACAAAGCAATCAATGCTGCCGTGGCGGTGCGGAAGGAGTGGGACCTGAGACCTGTCCAGGACAGGGCACAGATCTTCTTCAAGGCGGCCGACATGCTGAGCGGCCCACGGCGAGCGGAAATGCTGGCCAAGACCATGATTGGGCAGGTAAGGCTGCAGGTGGAATGGTCCCCTGCTGAGATAAACCATAATGATTGAGGGGGAAGGTGGCAGGAAGAGCTGCTGGCCCAAATCTTGATGATCAGACGGTGGTAAGTGGCACAAATATGAGAAACGTCTGTGATGCAACGAGAGCTCGTGTAGCCCGAATTCTTCCTTTGCTGCTGGAGCCGTGCATCCGTCCCCTTCTGCTGGGGACGTTGGCCGGCTGATTTCTAGCAGGACCCTCCCTGCACCTGGAGAGCTGCGGGGGGGATCTTGTTAATGGAGCGGATGCGCGGGAGCTCCCCACATAGCCGTTGATGGTTATCGTGCCAGGGGTAGGCAGAGAAGGCTCCTGAGTGGGGTGGAAATATCCAGGAAGTGTGAGGTGAGCAGCTGATCGGTCTCTGGCCGGGCTTTCAGTGCCACGTTAACGTGGCGTCACCAGCAAGACTTCCCGGGCCAAGCCGGGGGCGGCAGTGGGTGAAGCGGGAAGTTTGGCTAGAGGGAAGGTGATGTCCAGGGTTGGGCTGATCAGGAGTGGCCAGTGAGACCCACGATTAGGGGGTTAGATTCTAGCAGAAGCCTGATTTCCCCCTTCGCTTTTGCTGCAAGAAGGGGCTGTATGAATCCTGCAGGGCATCTGGCAGGGATCTGTCCTAATGCACCTGCTTAGGAACACGGATGGTGTCTTCAAACAAAGGACCCCCCCACCCTCGAAAGACAAGTTTACCCTGCCCACAAAAACCCTGCGGGAGAAGAGGGGCCTTGTTCTGTTCTCGAAATCGCAACAGACTCCTGTTGTGTGGACCCAGTGAGGGAAGCAGACCCCAGAGTCGAAGGCCCTCTGCTGAGTGCCCCCAGCTCTTTCAATCTGCTAGTTTGAGTGCTTCGGTTGGTCCCAGTTCCCTTAGCGGCATGTGGGGCGGGAAATGGGTCACTAGGATAGCATGGGGCCCAGGCTACATACTGGGCTCCTAGATCAGACAGCACTGTGAAAGGGGATTTCCTGGGTCTGATGTAGCCAATGCACTCTTAGCAATTACAGTGGTAGGGTCTGGTCTGTGTTCATTGCACAAGCTGTTGGAGACATTGCGTGAAATAGACGTCACTCTGTACAGGGCTAGCGACTTACTGGTGTGCTAATGCTGTGTGGGACACCTGGGTTTGATTTCCAGCCCCGATCTTTCGCCCTGTGCTGGGGGTGGGGCTGTGCCGGGGAGCAGGAGGGGAAGGATACTAACAAACCCAGTCTGAGTTTGGGAGTCGGGCTTTCCTGCTGGTCGTCACCCACCCGGTAAGAGCAAGGGGCAGAGGCAGCATGGGGCAATGTAGCTTGAAAGAAGCCAAGCCCCTGTGACGGTCAGCCCTTAGGGAGAAAGCAGGGCGGGGAGTGTGTTTATCTCTCCCATTCCCCTTTCAGGGCAAAACCGTCATCCAGGCGGAAATTGACGCAGCCGCGGAGCTGATAGATTTCTTCCGATTCAATGCCAAGTACGCGCTGGAGCTGGAGAACTCTCAGCCTGTCAGCGTCCCCATCAGCACCAACAGCATGGTCTACCGGGGGCTGGAGGTGAGGTGAAGGTTGGGCTGGGGTGGCTCAGACATGCACATCCAAGGCGTGTGGGGGGGGGTCGTGAGAAAACACGGCTCAGACCAGATGCTCTGCATTTGTGGGCGCGCTGAGCTCTCCCTGTGCGTCGCGAGCTGCAGTGGGAAGTTTTTCCACGCTCCTGCGGCCTCCCTTGGGGTGTGTGCATGACACTGTGTAAATTCTCCCTTTCCTTCCCCTGCACGCAGGGCTTTGTGGCAGCTGTTTCGCCCTTTAACTTCACTGCGATTGGTGGGAACCTGGCAGGGGCTCCGGCTTTGATGGTGAGTGTGTGTGTGTGTGGGGGTTTCTTTACGCAGCGCTGTGGTTTTGGATTAAACGGCTCTTTGCCCAATGAATCGGCCCTGTGTGCTACCCCCAGGGGTAGCTGAGCAACCAACACTCCACAATCTGTAAAGAAATTTGCTTTATTGGAACGCTAAGGTTGCAATTTCGAATGCCCCAATGCTAGGAAATGCAAACATCAAGGTACTCATAGTAAAATGCACCCCACCCCCCATTCCAGTATCCTGTCTATGACGTTACCAGACGCTTCATAGGAGTGGATAGGAAACCCTTTAATGGACAAGTATGGCATCAGCTGCCTGACCCCACCAGTTAGCGGTTGTCTCGTGCCCTGCAGCATGAGGGTTTGTATGCCTTTTATTCTTATTCAAGCCTCCCCATATGGATAATGGGTTACATTAAATGTCCCCCCCTTCCCTCCAAAAATCTTGCTAAGCTCTTGGCTTCAGTGACATATTGTGGCAGTGAGTTCCACTGGCTAGCTGTGCATTGTGCAAAAATTTATTTAGTCTGTTTTAAATGTGTTGCCCTTGACCGTCCCTTTTGTTCTTTTATTATTAGAGAAGGTAGGTCGGAGCACCCTGCTTACCTTGTATGTTCCTGGCGAGGCTGGGGTGGAGACTTTCCTACAGCAGGCATTTATTGGGGGCAGCCTTATTGTTGTCCCCTCGCTGAGCATTGCCCTTGCACAGGTTGGCGGGAGTACTCTGCACCCTAATCGGCGTCCGCTGTAGAGCAGCGGTTGCATTAGGAGACTGTGAAATTAACTTGTTAACGAGGCTGCTGATTTCACAGTCGGGCAGTGTTACACAGGCACTTGGGTCCGATCAGGCTGATCCGCCGGGCTGTGTGTGAGCGCATAGGAGTTCTTAGCGCTGAAGTGCAGTGAGCTGTTACTTGGTAGCTCAGCTTGAATCCTGCCGTGGGCGTGAGGCGGGATATCCCAGGGTTTTCCTAACAGCCGGATTGTGTGGGGTGGAGGCAGGGCAGAAGAGGGAGTGGGTCAGAACAATAAAACCACGGCAGTTCTGTGCTGCTGGGCTGGCCTGGAATTCCAGCCCTGCTTGGCAGTTCTGCTGTAGCCTCTTGGATATGTTCACAAAAGAAAGGGGGTGAGGGGAAGAGGGAGAAGTGTTAGTGTCTAGTGTCTCTCCTGCACTGAGATCTGCCTGACACAGGGTTGGCAGGGATCAAGGTACGCCTCCCTGATTCCTCCTGGGGCATTTGCACGTGCCCCGGCCCATCAGTGTAAATTAGAGCAGCTTAGGGGCTGCTCTAGTTTATGCCAGCTGCGAATTGGTGTGGCGCTGCCATCTGTGCTTTGGGGGTGAGGGGGACGTTTGGTGTAGGTGCCAGCTATGCCACCGGAGAGCTCCCTTATGCTGGATAATTCTGCTAAGGCCAAATTTCACCACTTTGTGCTGCTTAGCATGATCCAAATAGGAGGAGAGATTCTGGGCCCGTATTTGAAGCGTTTCTGAATGAAACGAGCTAAGCCCTAGACTGCACTAAACTAGCCAGTGTCTGTGTTGCGTTAACCCAGATTCCCCATCAAACCCGGCCAAAGGACTACAGAGTCCGGCCTGAACATTCAGACGTGATCAGGGCTTTTGGTTGCCTCCATTGTTGGGTGCTCAATTTGAAATGCCGCCTGATTTATTGATTTAAATAGCTAAGCACCTGCCCCGGGAAAATCTTTAAGGTGTCTCACAGGCCGAACACCTACAGATCGAGTGCGCCCTACCCAAAATCAATAGTCCCTCTTGAAAATGTAGGCCCCCTGGAAGCATTCTCTTACCCCACCTCCCTCGCAGTTCAAGTAGAATGTCACACAGTAGCTGCCAAGACTTTCCCTGCTTTTGTTGATATAAACGGATGTAACCCTCGTTGCTGAACGGCCCCATTCAGCCCCGACGCTGCAAGCTTTTAAATGTCATTTTGCTTTGGTACAATGTCAACACGCCTGCAAAAGTAAAAATGGGCACCACTGCTTAATGAAATTAGGGTGTTGGTGCCAAAGGGGTGACTCTGATGATGGGGTATTCCAGTTGCCATGACCCATGGTAGGCCAGGCGTGCTGTGCTGGGCTTGGCCATACAGGGAAATGGACCGGCATAGCTTTAGTGGAATAACTATTCTCTGGTAGCTGTGCCGGTCTAACTGCCCTATGTGGGCACTCTGTTGTGCACTAAAAGTGACTTTATTCAGGAATAATCACTCCTCTCTGGAATTCTTAGTGGCCGTGCCGGGAGTTGTACCAGCATGGCTGTAGCGGAATAATTCTTCTTCAATTTCCCTGTGTAGACAAGCCCTCAGATTCTTGGTTTCCTGAGGACCTAGGTGAGGCGGAGATGGATTAAGGTTTTGTGGGGCCCTGGGCCAGAGCAAGTGGGGGGGCCCCTCCCCACTCCTTCCGCCTACAGTCCTGCCCCTGTTCCTCCCCTTTTGCCTGCGGCCCTGCCCACGGTCCCACCCCCTTCCCCCGGCGGGTCGGCCCCCCTGCATGGCTCTGCAACCTGTTTGCTCCTTTCTGCCCTCACCCACACTGCAGCCCCAAGACTGGAGAAGCTCTGTCACCCCTCTTCCCCCCCCACCCCACTCCCTCGGGGCCACAGTGCGGAGTGAGAGCTCCCCCACCCTGATGCTGCGGCAGGGAGCTAGAGCTCCTCCAGTTCTGGGGTTGCAGCTGGGTTCGGGGCGTTGGGGCTTCCCTCGCTGCCCAGCACTTCTGCCAGGGAGCGGGTGCACCCATTTTTTCTGGGCCCCCCGAATTGGCCCTGGGCACGGACCCCATCGGCCCATTGGCTAATCTGCTGCTGAGGTGAGGTGCTCACTGGACTGTAATTATTGAGATTTTCCTTATTTATTTATGTAAAGATGGGGCCAAGTGTGTAATGCAATGGGCGTTTCAACTGAATAAGGCAGGCCAAGTTTGGCTCCATGCAAGTGACTTTGGGCTTTGGCTCAGGAGAGGGTCAGGAGAGCGGAGGAGAAATCGCCTCTAATCGTGGAAAGAAGAAGGTGTTTATAATCATGGAAAGGGAGCAAGAATAGGAAGGGACGTACGGGGCTGTCTTTTGTTCTGTGTTTGTATGCCACCTGCTCCGTGATGCTGCAGCCACCCAAATAATAAGTAATGCCTTGCAGGGGTTAGACTGGTAATGACAGAGCTGTGATTCTGGCTCCTGGTCTAGGAAACTTACTGGTATTACCACTGGCCATGGAATGAGGTGGTGGTTGGGAGTTCACCGAGTAAGTAATGGACTACGATCTGCGGGCAGTGCCTTCCAAGGTGTAACCCCGAGTATGGATGAGGGCAAGGCCCTGCACATAACGTACCCAGATTTCAGCTTTCGGTAAAGCTCCCTGCAGGCCGCAGAACGAGCTCAAAAATATCGGCAGCAATGGGAGATGGACCGAAAGCCATAACAGTGCTAAACTGCTTTTAGTAGTCTTCCAACCAAAAGGATCCAAAAGCGGTTCATCAACTGATGTACGTACCGCACGTAGGCGCTGCCTGCCGCTGAAGTGCAGCCACCTCTGGGGTGGAGCACGATAGCTGTTAAACAGGGCACACAGCAGCTTAGAGCTGGATGTGAAGAATACTGTGCCCAAATAGAAGTGCAGCAGGGATTCAGAGAGGCAAATGGAATTTGGACCGTGGCACCAGGTTTAACTTTTCTGCTCTTATGAAAAGTGTCCTGGCATCTTTAATGACCAGAACCTCCGACTTTAAACTCCATATGGAAGATGGTGCCTCCCGCAGCACAGCGTCCTCTACTGGAGTCGGAGGGCATTGATTTACAAGGAAAAACAACCAAGCATTTAGCTCTTTTAGAGTGATGACGAAGGTGGGGGGGACACGCCTACAAATGCGGAGGGTGTAAACCTCAAGGTGGGAGAGTGAGACAAGGAGGCATAATTAAGAGGCTACTCAGACTGTCAGCTCTTTGGGGCAGGGGCCATCTTCTCGATTGTACAGCGCCTACCACAGCAGGGTCCATGTCTAGGGGTCCTAGGCGCTCCGGTAATATAAATAATAGCAATGTTAAGAGATGAAGAACAGGGGAATCTTTCTGATGGGGTGAGCTGTTTGTCTGGGGGATAGACTCTCAAGGGATGTGGGTGAAACCCCATCCCTTGGGACATTCAGAGCTAGTCCGGTGTATAGGGGACAATTCTGGCTGGCCAGGGTGAGCTACATGGTGGTGGATTGGACCTGGCAGGTCTGATCCATCCCTCTGAGAGTCTCCCTATTTTCTGGTCTTTTTCCTTGTGTCTGCTTTTCACTTGAGGACACGCCACAGCAGAGGTGCTGCATGCCAGTGTGTCTGCCTCCACTTAATAGGGAAAGCTGAGATCTTCTCTGCCCCTGGTGGTGGGCTGTTAAAGGGGAGATGGAGGAGGGGTCGCGTGGCTCCTGGTATCAGAAAAGGGGCTAGTTTGCCAAGCCCACATTCCTGCTTTGTACACCTGGAATTAAAATGGAGAGTTGTGGGCCAACTTGTTATAATGTGTGGACATTAATTAGCATCATGGTAATTAGTAATTTACAGTGGAATTCCCATGGGATTAAATATCTCGGCTGCGTGAATAGCTGGAGAGATCAACACGATTAATACTGTTACAATGATGGGAGAAGGATTTCAGAGGAGCAGAGCTTTTGCCATATCGGAACAGACCAGCAACTTGGTTCCTCTGGTCTCTTGTCCCTGACTGTGGTCTGTATTGGCTTTCACAGTGACTTCAACATTTTGCTGAGTGTGATGTAGTTTTCCCACCACTCAGAGTGGAAGAAAGAGGGGAGGGGAGGGTTTGTGTTGAGAGGCTCAGGATCTGAACATCCAATCCAGATGGACAAATGTTTTATGGCCCCTTGTTGCCCTGCGGCTTTCCATCTGCCATGACCGTTGTGGCTTGATTCACGACACCCCTGTGCTGCCGTGAGCTTCCATGTAGCTCGCCCCTCGAGTGGCTGGATGGCTGGTGTAGTGGGCGTAGCACAGAACTGGGTGGAACCTTTCAAACCTGGGAGCTTACCTGGCTTCAGCCTCTTACAAACATGAGTCAGGCCCAGGGCAATGAGGGAAAGGTGCAGCACCAGGAGAGGATTAAGGGATCCCTGCTGGTCACATGGCTGCTTGGGACAGAGTATAAAAGGAAGGGGAAGCTGGGTCAAAGGAAAACTAAGGGGTAGGATGTGTCCTCTTCACTCCACGCTGGGTGAAGGGGGGGTGGTGGGAGACACCTCTCTAGGAATTATTACCCAGTGTCTTTCAGTTGATTCGCCCTCTTCTGTGGACAATAAAACCAGCCCTGAAGAAAGCCTTAAAAATGGACTGAAGCTGGGAGCTTTATTTCCCTTTCCTGGCTGGTTAAAGCACCCACTGGTTTACACCCAGTTTCAAGGAAACCCTGACTCGAGGAGAAAGTACAGTTGTATGGCTGAAGCTGCTGGCGGAGACTCGGGTCCCATTCCCAGCACCACAGCTCGCTCTGTAACCTTGGACAAGTCCCTTATCTTCTCCATGCCTCTGTTTCCCCCATCTGTAAAATGGGGGTGGCACCTACTGACTACCCAGCGGTGCCAGGCTCAGCTGGCAGGAGATCTGCAGAGGGGCGGTGTTAGAGATAAGCAGAGGGTCATTATGGGGTCTGCCTGGTTTCAGGCTTCAGCTGAGTTGGGCATTAAGCTCAGTGCTGTTTGAAACAGAAACCTGAAGCCAAATGCAGGGGATGGGTATCAATCCCATGCACATCAGCGCTGCTGGACCCCCAGCAAACACAGCTGACTCTCACTGCTCTGCCCCTATCTGCTTTGCTGGCAGACAGGGGCTTTGGTTGGGTTGTTGAGCTTTGGAGCCGTGGGGTCAGCACCGAGGGGGGACCTCATCACCTGCTATCTATGCCCATGGCCGCCCTCCATGATCAATTGATTTGTTCCGCCTCCTCCTCCAGGGAAATGTGGTCCTCTGGAAACCCAGCGATGCCGCCATGCTGTCCAACTTCACCGTGTACAAGATCCTCCTGGAAGCTGGTCTCCCTCCAAACGTCATTCAGTTTGTCCCGGCTGACGGAACTGTTTTTGGAGACACAGTCACGAGCTCTGAGCATTTCTGCGGGCTCAACTTCACGGGCAGCGTTCCGTAAGTGGGCAGGGAAGCCGGCCAAGGGTCGGCTCTTTGGAGAGGGGGTTGGGTAGGGCAGGGTGAGGTCATGATGCTACAGCATCATCTGCTCAGGTGTGATGCCGCAACATAGCAGCATTTGCAGGCACTGAAGGTTAGTTCAGGACTGGTTAATGTCCCACAAGCAAGGTGAGGATTGGGACAATCCTGATAGAAAGGAAAAAGATCAGCCCTAAGTGGGTCTCATTGTCATGTGCCTCCCACTCCCTGTTTGCTCTGGACACTTGACACCTTATGGCAGCTGTGGAATGATGTTAATTTCCAGGGCATAATGAAACCTCCCTGGATGTTACCAAAGCCCTTGCTTCTCTAGACTCCAAAGACTGTAAACACCTTGTCGTGGGGACTTCCTGCAGGGCTGCTGGTGGGCAAATCCAGACTCCCATCTACACTGTGACCAAGGGACAGGGCCCCAGTTAAAAGCGGTGGTGTAGATGGGACCAAACCTATTCCATGCAGTATCCCCTGGAGTATCCATCATTCTTTCCCTACAGGGTGTGTCTAAAGGCTGGAATGGGGGGCCGGGAGTTCCGATTCCTAGGTCCTGATTTAATCTGTGATCTGACATGTTTCTCAACTGAGGCACAGAGAGATGTTAACCCTCATCTGTAAATTGGGGGTGATATTTACTTGTCCCTCAGGGACACCGCAGCTTCCGTTAATTGCTTGCAAAGCCTTTGAAGAGCTCCTTGGGAGAGCGATGCTGTAGGAAAGGGACATGTTGTTTATTTCACATGCGCCCTGCCGACAGACATTAAAGGGATGTGAATTAGCCATGTGAAGGACTCCTTGTCCTGGTAAAGGGCATTTCAAGCAGGTGCTCCCTTTGTCCATGTAGATTTGCAAACTGGCACTCGCCTCCCAGCACTTCAGGGTAAGTTATTCCGGCAAAGGGTTCTGCTAGCCCTGCCCGAAGTGCTGCTCCCAAAGATGAGACTATTAAAATCCGGGGCCCCCGCTAACCAGCCGAATGACATGGTCTGATGAGCATTGGGCTTTAAAGGTGGGAAGCTCATAAATTAGTATTAGTGGCTCTCTCTCCTGGTGGGAGCATATTAGCATTTTTATTGTTTTGCAGCTCAGGGGTTTGTCACAGTCAGAACCAAAAAAGAAGGAGGGAAAGTAAAGAACTGGAAGCTCCTGCCAGACTCTATTTCTCCTTTATTCTCTTCTGTGCCACTTCTCTCTCCCCTCTTTCACTATCTGTCCATCTCTGCCTTTTCGGTAGTGCCCATCCTTGGTGTCTAGGCTCCTGGTTCTCAGGTTGTCTCCCCTCCTCTCTCAAGGTTATGAGCTAGAGCCTGTTGAAGTCAATGGGAGTTGTTTCCATTGGCTACGGTGGGCGTTGGATGAGGTGTCTTGGCTGGAATGGGGAGGGGAAGTTTCTTCAGCTCGTGGATCTGGGGCTGTAGGACAGCCTCAAATCTTCATGGGCCTGAGAGCTGGAGCCTGGTTCCACAGCTCTAGAGATGCTCGCTCCAGTGTGTGGTGCCAGAGTGTCTCTCTCCTCCTCTGCCTTTCAGAACCTTCAAGCACCTTTGGAAGCAGGTGTCAGAGAACCTGGATCGGTACCGCACCTTCCCGCGCCTGGCAGGAGGTAATGCCCAGACTTAGCTCTCGGGGGGGACAAGAGCCACATGGGCCATGCCAGCTGCAGGGGAACGTCTCAGCAGGAATTGGGCAGCAAATTAGCCAGGCTTGTGTGGCCAGCTTGCTGTTAACTTCCATGGCTGTGCTGTATTTCAGGTGGTCTCCTACCAAACATGTGCATTTGAAATCAAACAGGTGCCTGGAGAGAGACCTGGGGAGGAGAGGGCTCCAGTGGGCGCAACAGGGAATTGTGAGTTAGGACTCCTGGGTTCTTTTCCCAGCTCTTGGAGGGAGTGTGGTTCAGTGTTCGGAGCAGAGGCCTGAAAGCCAGAACACCTGGGTTCTAGCCTCAGGACTCTGCTAGAGCCTTGCTGGGTGGGGCTGTTCATTTAACTGCTCTGGGCTGTGCTGAGCTTTAAGGTGGGGCCAATTGCTCTTCAGTGCTCCGAGTTTAGGGAAGGGCAGAGGGTGGTGATGTGGACACGACAGGGGCCTGCACTCAGCTCCCAGGCACCGCAGGACAGAGTCCCCATGTGCCCAGCTACGCAGAGTGTTGTGGGGCTGTACAGGTCTGTCTCCTACACGCAGAGTAAAGATCCCAAGCGGACTCAGTTGGCTCCTGTGTTTGGGACCCCAAGGATGCTTTCCTTCCCCTGTACAGGTTAGCTATGGTCTAGCTGTGACCCAGTATTCCCCCGGCCGTCCTATTCCAGAGTGCATCCTTTTCGGAGCGTGCTCTGCCCCGGCTGAGCTGAACAGGCCGAGGTATTTAGGGACCCTGGTGCCATTTTGAGATCAGCTGTGGGAGGCCTCTTGCAGTGAACCTCCTGGGAAAAGCAGCTGGCACCTGAGCACAGCCATGCCCCGGCTTGGAGCGAGCCTGGTGCAGAAATGGCTGTGGCCGCTCTGATGGGATGCGGTACCCAACTCACTGCAGGAGGAGTTGGGTAAAGAGCAGAGGATGGGTGGTTATGGGGCTGCAAGGGATACCTGGGGCAGAGCCGGGGGGTAGGGTGCCGAGGGCTGGTTGGTGCTGTTGCAGCTATTGAGGTGGGTGGTTGGCAAGGCTCTTGCTCCATGCTGGGCATGCTCCTTTCTCTGCTTACTCAAAGGAGCCTACAGCAGATGCTGCACTCCAATTGCTCACCTCCTGCTAATGGGACGATGGTCCCTTTGCTTTGTACCTAGTAAGGGAGAAAGGGAAGAGACGGGGTGAACCCAAGGGATTGCAAGGCTGGAGGGAAGGCTAGGACTGAGGGAACAAGGTTCAAACTCCAGTTCTGCCACTGACCTGCTGGGTGACCTAGTGTGAGTCACTTCCCCTCCCTATGCCTCAGTTTCCCCAGCTGCAAAGTGGGCTTGATAATTCTGACCCACCTCACAGGGCTGCTGGGAGACACTTGGCTGGAGGTGCTGTAGAAGAGCTAGGGAGGTGGTTCCCATGTTATTGGTATTTATTCCTCAGCTGTGTCTTCGCTTAGAGCCAGCCCTGTGTCCCGAGGAGCATGGGGGCAGGGTTCATTCAGACATGTGAGCTGGGTAGGCAGGGGTGGCCTGGCCGCTGAGGGTGGGGTGTCTGCTGCCTGTGGCTCGAGTGTTAAGCGGGACTGTACCTCAAGACAGCTGGGGCTGGCTGTAAGTTGCTTTGTCTGGAAGCGACAAGGCAGTGACGGCTTCTCCCGTGTGGGGTGGGTGGGTGGGTCTGTGTCTTTTTCCTCAGAGTGTGGCGGGAAGAACTTCCACTTCGTGCACAGCTCAGCCGATGTGCCCAGCGTGGTGAACGGGACCCTGCGCTCGGCCTTTGAGTACAGCGGCCAGAAATGCTCGGCCTGCTCCCGCCTCTATGCCCCCGACTCGCTGTGGCCCCAGATCAAAGAGAAACTGTTGGAGGAGCACGGGAACATCAAAGTGGGAGACGTGAGTGGAGCTGCTGGGCTTTGCGGCTCAGCGGGTGGCTGATGGGATTAGAAGCTGCAGTAGCCGGCTGCTAATTCCTATTGAACCGAGCTGTTTATCCACTGGTTCTTCCCCCCTCATCTTTTTAGTGATTAGAAATTAACTTGTAGCCAGCACTGCGGAGGAACGATTGTAAGAAACTGTCAACGCCACAGCGTAATTGAAAAAGGCCGGCTGCTCCCTCTTAGGGGTGTGGGGATGGGAGATATTAAAGAAGGGACAAGTGTCACTTGGGGGATTTAGATTCTCTTTCTTCCTCCTCCTGCCTTCTGAGCTACCTGCCTGGCGCTCAGAGGCAGCTGATGGCCTGTGGAGCGAAGAAGCCTGCTCACTCTTTCACCGGCTCCCCTTCTTCCCTCCACAGCCTGCCCAGGATTTCGCCACGTTTTTCTCGGCTGTGATCGATGACAAGGTAAGACCAGTCCCCTGCCCCAGGCCCCTTGCTGGCTTGACTGCTTGAGTCCCTCCGGAGGGTGGGCCCTGGCTGCTAGGGGGAGGCTCTGGCAAGCACTGCTGTACGCAGGTGGGCCTTTTGGCTTGCCTAAGTCTGATCTCCTAAGCCAGCTTTCTTGCTGCTCCCCAGAGGTCTTGCGTGGTTTCTCCAAGCCGGCCACACCCTCCTGGGTATTGATTATCCCTTTGGCCTTGTCAGGGGCTGCACTTCCTCCCCTTCCGGCGTTCCAGACGTAGCTGAGGTGGCAAGTGCTGTCTTAGCTTGTGGGCAGGCAGGTGGCTTTTTGGCTGCAAATCTCGCTCATCCACCTCCATCGCAGAGAAGGGACCTCTGCAGCACGGGGCCTGCCCTCGCTGTCAAGGCTTTGGGCATCCCCTTGCTGTGCCTGGCCCCCTTGTTGGGGGCAGAGTCTGTCTCCCTACTCTGTCCTTGCCCCAGGGTGTGGCCAGAGCACTAGCCCTCTGAGACTGCAGTTGCTCATCTTTAATACAGAGGTGTGGCTGGCCATGCTACAGGTCCCAGCATGCAATGCTCCACTTTGCTAGTAGTCCTTGGCTCTGTGTCTTCTGTTGGTCATGTCTCCGGGGCCAGCTGCAAAGTGTACATGGCTTTGGGTTTCTAGCCAATTCTGGACAGCCCTGCCTTATTGCACGTGCACCTGTCTGAGACTGCTGTCCCCAGTGGCCGTCCTTAAGGACAGTTGTCATGATTTTGGCCAGAAGGGGTCTAGGGATGCTCTTGGGACATCTTCCCAGAAGCAAATCCTGGGGCATGCAGTGAGGTGCGAACCCAGTGCTGCCTAGAAGGCAGCTCTCTGGCGCGTGGCTTCATGCGCTGCAATAGCTCGTCTGCCGCTGATTGATCCTGCTGGCAGTTCTTAGGATGCAAGGGAGCGAGGAAACGAGTCAGCCCTCATTTACCGGAGGGCCGAGGCCGCTCCATGGCTAGTGTTGCCGATGGGCAATGCCCCTTTCAGACTCCTCCTTGCACTGTGGTTTTCAGTCTTTTGCACGTATTAAGAAGTGGATCCAACACGCCAAGACGTCGCCCAACCTCAGCATCCTGGCAGGGGGGACGTGCAATGACACTGTTGGGTATTTTGTCGAGCCATGTATCGTGGAAAGCAAAGACCCAAAGGACCCCATCATGGAAGAGGTGAGTATCCCTTTTCTCTCCTGCGGGGGTCTAGGTTGAATTGACAGCAAGAAGAGCAGGAAGAATAGCCATTGCAGAAACACAGGTCTTTGAGAGAGAAAAATCTTAGCCATCTAAGCCAGAGATTCCCATCCTCTAGGACTGATCCCATAGGATCCCCTCCCCTTAATGAGTAACTGCACTCCTCCTCCGTGCGTGTGTTGCTGCCTCCTGCCTAGACTGTAGCCCTCCCATGGGCCTTGAGGTGCTCACAAGACTGGGCATCAGAGCAGCACAAGCTCCATGATGAGCGTGCAGTTAAATAGGAGGCCACCGGCGCAGCGTGGTAAGGGGTGCAGGATTGTTCCCCACGCTGTCTTTCCCGGTGCCTTAGCTGCTCAAGTGACGGGGCAGCCACAGGTTCCGGGAGGGGCCGGTTGTATATGCTAGGAAGCCCTTCCTGATAGCTAGTGGTCATTCCACCACTCCTCTTGGCTCACCCTCGTGATGGACGGAAACCACAGCCAATAAAGAGCACGAGGGCTGTGTCTGTGTTAAAGGCCAGCTGGGCAGGCTCCTCAAAAGCTTCTAAAGCCCATTGAACTAAAGGAAAAGCAGCAGCCTTGTCCCAGCAACCCGTGCTTCAGCCTTATCCCAAGCCCGTTCTATGGGCATGGGGTTAGGGCTGGCTACTGTCATGCTTAGCATTCCTCTCCCACATGCTGCCACTAACTAATGCAGCTCAGAAGCAGGGGCTTACCAGAGGGCCTTTTGGGGTATGTCTACACAGCAAAGAAAGACCCGCGGCTGGCCATTGCCAGATGACTTGAGCTCTGTCTACAGCTGTTTCATTGCTGTGTAGACTTCCAGCCTCAGGCTGAGCCCGAGCTCTGGGACCCTCCCACCCCGCAGGGTCCTAGAGCCCTGGCTCCAGCCCAAGCCCAGATGTCAACATAGCAATAAAACAGCCCCACAGGCAGAGCCTTGCAAGGCTGAAGCGACTGGTAAATTGCTGTGTAGACATAGCCTTTGACAGCCGTTTCTTTTCTTCATCCTCTGCTTCTCATGCAGTCCTATAATTATTCACTGAGGCAGAATTGCTCTGATCCTCAGCTCGGAAGTGTGTTGGGGAATGGCTTTAACTCGCATTCATCCATTCAGGCTGGGGAGGACAGGGGGCATTGTGTGGGTGGGAGCCTGGCCCAAGTACTATGTACAGGACCCTAAACACCTTAGATAACAATGAAGGCGCACCGCTGTCCCTGGCAGGAACTCGAGGGAACTGCCTGTCAAGCAAATTCTACATGTGAGCAGCCATGGGCCGGGAGATGGTGCTCCGCCTTCCCTGCAGGAGTTGATTGTGCTCCTCCTGCTTTCACAGTGCTGCTCATTTCTCCTATTTCACACTGGCTATTTGCTCAAGTAGCAGGCGCTGCCATCAATAACAAGCAGCAGTTGTGGGCCCCCGCTCACAGGCACACACACTCGGCTGCTCCTGCCCTGACCGCCTTTATTTTGCTATGCAGGAAATTTTTGGCCCAGTCCTGACTGTGTATGTCTATCCAGAAAAGCAGTACAAGGAAATCCTACAGCTCATAGACACCACATCCCCCTACGGCCTCACAGGGGCAGTGTTCGCCCAGGATAAGTAAGTGCCCGAATTCTCACCGCCATAGCAGTGTGTGCGAATAGCTCGCTCTCCGCTCTTTCTTTCCAGGGTGCACTAGGGGGAGAACCCTTCGGTTTCTGTCATGCAGAACCAGCATATGTATTACCTCCATTTTCATCTGCTAGAAAGGAAGTCCTGGGCCAGTGGCCCCTTACCCCTTCATGGGTAGTGCTTTGCATAGCAGGGAGGCTCCTTGTCTGAGCCCCTTGCCCCTTTTCCCTAGAGGTTCTGAAGTGTAGTTCAGGGGGATTGTTGCTGTTTGAGTCTTCAGGGGTTTTCCCTATGTCCTACCAGCCCCAGCTGGCTTGTTTGCGCTGCCCCATGGCCATCAGAGGTGGTGAACTTTAAGTGGTGCAACTCTCTGGGACTGAATAGTACAGGAGATGGGTTTGGAGCAATGACACATTTCACATCTGGGGTTGAGCCCAGCTTAGGGCAGCAGTAACTAAGAGTTGACCAGCTTTGTTGTCCGCCTCAGCGCAGAGGCCAGGGATTGACTGGGCCCTGCAGAGTACCCCAGGAATGTTGAATCTTCAAGGACAGAGCAATATTGGCAGGGTGGGGTGCTTTGCTGGGATTAGATATTAGGCTGGGACATCGGGCCAGCACTGTGTTCTCTCGCACCCGGTATGAGGCCAGGAGGCCCACAGCAGATTGAAAGGATGATGATGCACTGAGCGTGGCCTCCTCTGCTGTGTCACTGCTCCCCCATCTCTCCTAGGAACGTCATCCAGGAAGCGAGGATGCTTTTGAGGAATGCAGCTGGCAACTTTTACATTAATGATAAGTCGACTGGTGCAATTGTGGCCCAGCAGCCATTTGGGGGCGCCCGTGCCTCAGGTGAGAGTGCTGTGCTGGGGCAGATGTTCACGTGAGAGGGGTGTGAATGGTTCCTCTCTGGGGAGGAGGGAGCAGGCCTGGGTTCTACTCCTGGCTCTGTACCGCCATCTCCTCAGCTGGGGGATGGGGATCTCTCTACAGAACCTCCTGCAGGGCAAAAACTGGAGTCTGCTCCCTACTGGGGAATGACTCCTCCTTCCCGTAAAGAGCCTTTCCTGGCTTTCCAACAGGAACCAACGACAAACCTGGCAGTCCCTCCTACCTCCTGCGCTGGACGTCTCCCCAGGCCATCAAGGAGACCCACGTGCCCCTCGGAGACTGGAAGTACGCGTACATGCAATGATCGCGGCCCAGTGCCTTCCATGCTGGGAGAATGGCCTCTTACTACTGACTCCAAATGCAGAGCGTAGTGGCCGATCTCATTTCCAAGCTACGGCTCTAATAGTATTTAAAGCATTTTGTTTTTGCAAACACAATTTAACAGACTGTTACCCAGCAACAAGAGCAGCCCTTGTGATTTCTCAAACCTGATGTAGAGGATTAGTCTAAGGCAGGGCTCTTCTGTAGGCTGCAGTTTGTTCACGGTCCTCTAGCAGGAGGAGGCTGCTCATCAAGGAAGCCAGGAACCTCAGAACTACTAGACTAGAACAGGAATACAGAAGCAAGAACCACAGGCCTGAGAGGAGAAACATTCTGGAAAGAATGAGATAACTGGGATTCATGCTGATCTGTGCTAAACAAATCCACTAAGCTTGCCCTCCCAAAGTCCCATAGAATCATAGAGGAACATGCCTTTGGAGAGGTTCTTGTTCATTTCTCCCCCTACATTGGTCTATGCATGATTGTGGTTTTCCATCTAGATCTCAGGGACAGAGTGTCTCCTGCTGCAGGTATGAAGCCAGTGCCCAGTCTGCCATTGGAGAGGGAACAAATCATGTTCTTTAAAGGCCATACGAACACTTAATTCTCCACATGCTGCGGTGTAAATCTACCCTGCACGGCACTAAGTGTCTGTGTGGACCTTGCTGCTGCCTGCTAAAAATTCCCTACCATGCTTTAATCCAAGTGGGGTAGATCTAAGCTCCCTAGGAAACTTTTAGTGTATGGTAAATTTACATCCCAGCGTGCCATCAACAAAGTGTTTGTGTGGACAAGCCGTATGTTTTATCATCAAACACTGTAGGTGATAAAATGCCTTGCAGTCACACTTTGGCTGTAAAAACCCTTGCAAAGTTTAGAGGGGAGACGCATTTAGGGAACATAATGCATGAAAACAGCAACTGAGCTGGGACTAGGCAGAACCCTTGTCTTCCAACTCTTGTCCATCCTTTTTCAAAAGCAGCCTCTAACACCCATATCCCTCTCCACCAGAATAGGGACAGATTTTGCTTTCTCCCCCTGAACTGAGATTCCTGAAATAATCAATATGAGGCATACAGCTCTTGCTTTAGAGCAGATAATGGCATTAACAAGATGGGCTTGCCCCTGTTACTTTCAGAGCTGTATTATCTTCTAAACACTTGTTTTTAGTTTAGTGCATGGGCCATGTTACAAATCATGCTTGTTAAACTTCATTTTTAAATTGCTTGTTGGTTAAGAATTCCTATTCTGGGGAGTGGGGGGAAACGTATGTGAACTCTGGCTTGAATTGATCCCGAGAGCTACACCATTGGACTCTAGCTGTGCACTTTCCCAGAGTTCCTTGCTGTTAAGATCAGAGGCTGTGGTCTGGCTTAGGCTGTAGTTTGAATCGCATCGTGACAGTAGCTCTGTTTTGCGTATCGTACTGAGGGGATGCTGTTGTTGTGCATTCCTCATGGCTATTTTGCTGTTAAACCTCTTGGTTTAAAACCGGATTCAGTGCTAGCCCCATGTTTCACATTAGTACAGCCCCTGGCTGTGCTAAGCCAAGCCAATGGCAAGGGTTAGCCATACAAATACTTTGCAACTGCGTCAGTAATAGGTGCATTAAGGCTTTTTAGGTCTGGGATTCACTAGCCCTTTGACAGCTATCCAGCTGGGCAGGCTCCTCCAAGCTACTCCCCTGTGAGGTTACCTGAATGGATCCTGAGGGCATCTCCTCTTCCCTGGCGTGGATCTCATGTTAGTAACAAGTGGGTGGCAGCAGCAGGAATCTTATCGGCTGCTCGGAGGGAGAGAGATCTGATCACAATGTTAAGAGTCCATTTTGCCTCTGTTGGGCCTTAGACAGCAGGCCATGTGTACAGTGAACACTCCTGACTGTCTGTTCCTGTACATCATGGGTAACGCCTACCCACCTGTTCTGAGGCACAAAACTGCTCTAAATTGCAAATGCTACTGCAGTCTTATTAGTAGGTTCTTATACCATGTCCACTGAGCTCTCTCATCCAACTTTCCACATCCTGATTGGACAGGACAGTCTAACTTCAGTTCTAATTTTGAATGTTCCTTCAATAGCAAGCTGTTACGGTTGACAATTCCCGCAGCCAGAATTGTGAAACTGTAGATGATTGACAGTACAGCCGTTAATTGTCTGAGGTGTACAGTCAGTTAAATGTTAACCTCTACTGTGCCTTGGCTAGTATTTAGCTTTCAGGTCAATAACTGGTCACTGCCACTGAAGTCAATATCCACTTATTACAAATATCAAATGCTGAATCATGAGACAGGTAAGCTGTTACCATATCTTAGTTACACAGACTTGTATGCATTTTAAAAGGAAACTGTTGAAGCAAAGGTTTGTTAATGACTGATTCTACTAGCACTTTTTGGTTCTAACTGTGTAAGATTGAAGGAGTCTACTGTATTTGACGCAAAGAAAAACATTTCAGGTACTTATTTACCTTTTATCACTGTGTAACACTATACAAAAGTAATAGACAAGATTAATCTGTACCAGGATGCACAATAGCAACAAGGTTTTGCATATTAAAATAAATCAGTAATTTATCCAGTAAATACAAACTTTCATGTGACTGATAGCTGCAGCTACTCTATTTTATACAGGCTTGTGAGATAAGTTTGCATAACGCTGCTGGGGAGGATAAATTCTCTTCCCCTGATTCTGCATTTAGTGCTTTTCTACACAGCCCCACAGTACGGCCTACAGGGGTGTGAACTGTCGCACACACTAAAGTTTAGTGCTGTAATTACCCCATGCAGATCTTGCTAGCATGAACTAAGAGATACCCAGTTTGCGTTAGTGTAGGGCTGTTTTAAATGGACTATGTTACAGTGAACTAAGTCCCTTTTAGTTCGTGCTAGCAGGGTCTACAGGGGGCACTTACAGTGCAAAACTTCAGTGTGTGCTGCAGTCTGCACTGTGGGGTCATGTAGACAAGCCCCTTAGAGCATGTCTACATTGCAGTGAGATACCCGTGGCTGGCATGTCTCACAGGGCTCAGGGCCTGTTTAATTGGGTCCAGCCCAAACCCAAAAGTCTACACCACAATTAAACAGTCTCTTACCCTGAACCCCGTTTGCTGAGTCACCAACCACTAGTTTTTAACTGCAGTGTAGATGTGCCCTTGGTGCTGAGTGACTTGGGTATCTCTTCTCCCAGCTCTTACCTGCCTCTCAGCTATCCTCACCAGGTCTTCACTCCCTTTCTAGCAGCTCTCCCTCAAGTGCTCACTATAGAATCTACACCCTACCTCTGCCTGCTTCACAGCTTGTCCTAACCCTTGTTCCTTGTTAAACTTAGATCAAACTGCTGCATTAGCTCAGTCGCCCCCTGCTGTCCCAGCCCTACGGCTTCTAATCCTACCAACTTCCTGTTGCACTGGGTGTAGTTTCCCTCATTTTATCCCATTCCTGCATATGGGATAGGAGATGACCTGGCTTTGTACCTCTTAAAAAAACAGTGAGCTTTAAAAGGCCAAAAGCTTTTAAGCATGGAATGACCCTCTTGGTATAACAGGTTTTTCCTAGCATAAGGATGAAATAAGTAGGACCAGTCAGTCCAAACAACCACCCTATCATGCAAGAAAGCACCTGGATTTGTGTTAAGTTGCAAACTCCATCCTGCTTCAAGCAATCCTGCCCCAGTTTGGAAGCCAGATGAAATCATCAAGTTAGCTAGAGTGCCACTTTGATTTTCTGGGGGTTCAAAGGAACCGCATTAACAGACTCAAGTGGTGGAAATCCCATGGATCAAAACCAAAGAGGTCACTGGCATAAAACCCTGTGGATGCAAACAGAGCCACTGCCCCAATAAGCAGCCTGTCCCCTGTGCAACTCACTCTCCTGCCCAGTGTATTGCCGTGGTAGTGACGGAGACATGCGAAAAACAATTGGCTTTTGTTTTCTTCCTTCCCAACAATACATGAATGTCTTTCTAATATTAGAAACTGCTGCTAAGAATCCCTTTGTTATGTTTGTCACCTTGCCACACAACAAGGAGAAGTAATAAAATCTTGTTTAATCCTACCCTCCAGTTTGCCCATTAACTCTACCTTCCCTCGCCAAACATCAGGCTTGCGTGATCTGTAATGGCAAATCTCCACCTCCAAAAGCTGCAAAGGGAACTAGCATTTTCATACTCTTATTATAAGGAGCTGGGGCTCCACTTGGTTGATTTCTTCTTAGTAATAATTTGAATGCTGTTGTCTACACAAGAATGTAGTCTGTATCCTGTTGATGGCATGTTACCAAAATGGGTCTTACCTGAAATGCACTGTACAGAGAGCAATGTTGATCAGACAGAAAGCTGAGTGGGTGACCAGGTTGTTCAGAGCGGAAGGACTTCAGTTTACTTGGTCACTGGTCTGGCTGATCCAAAAAGCTGTGAGTGTTCACAAATGATTCACTGGTTGTGTTCGAGTTGGATCGCTCTTTGCTGCAGCTCAACTCAGGCTGAACACTGCAAGATATTTTCAATGTGAAAGGTCCCCGCTACTGGTCTCACCTGCATGGGAGAATGTATAGTGTTGAGGGATGAGAATAATACTCAGAATGGGGCAGGTACTGCTAATAAAAGACTCGCAAAGCACGGTCGTGGTCTGGAAAATTCTTTCCCTTGCCACAAATCTAAGTTTGGCCTGAGGGTTGGGGATTATTTCTGCCTGACCAAACGGACGTAGGGCCAGTTTTTCAAAAGGTGTTTCAGCACCTAAAGCAGCAGATGGATTGAAAAATCCCACTAGGTGTCTCTGTCTTTTTAGGTGCTGAAATACCTTTGAAAATGTGGCCCACTAAGGGACTGTTCCTGTGAGGTGCTGAGCTCCCCCCACTGCAAGTGCTCCCTGAGTTCAAGTGGATTTCGAAAAGGCAATAGGACACCACCCCAATGCTGTAAACCAGTAACCAGTGCACTAACAGATCAGTGCCCGTGGGGTGGGTGTACTTCAGTACTTATACGAGTAGGTTCAGTTAAACAGCTCCTTTCTGCAATCCACCACTCCCCAAGTGAAAGGCAACAGGCCACCAAGCAGCCTTGATAAATTGCCATGGTTACTTTTGATGACATCATCTGTTGTTTCAGAGGGTTTGGAATCACAGAGAGAAAAATTTTAATGTTATTTACTGGGCGAATACAAGAGATGATACACCAGGCCATGCTCATGCTGGATCTTAGCCAAGAACCATCAGGGAGCATCTAACAGCTCCTTCTGGTTTTCATGCTCCTGTCAAATCCTTTCAAGTAGCATCTCACCCTTTTAATTCACACATTAGGATGATAGACGTTAATGGCACAACAATCTCTGCTAACACCTTCTCAGGATCTGGCAGCAGGGTGCTCGGTGCTTACCAGAGAAGCCGATCTGCATACCGACATGTTTCTCATCTTGTGGGCAAATGGAGGTGCCAGGAGAGCTGGGCTAATAATGGATTTATGGTTTTTTGGTTCAGTGGCAAGGCTGAAAAAGATACATTTCAGGTCAAACCAAAAACCCTGAAGTTTTCAGCAAATCAAAAAATAAAAATAAAAAGTTTTAGCTGGACAAAATGCTTTGTTTTGATTTTGACCATTTAAAACCTTAATTTCCTTTAATTTTTTTTTGGTCACAAAGTCATTTTGTACCAAAAAAAATCAAAATGTTTTGTTTAAAACTCCTTTGATACAAGAGTTTCAAATTATTTTGGAATTTAAGGCTTTTTTTTTTTTTACTGAAACTGTTTGGTGAAACTGACACAAACCACTGTGGTGTTACTGAAGCTAGAGGGTTTGCTGAATAATTTTTTTGGTTTAAAAAAGAAAAAAAAGGTCACCAGATTCTAGGTACATGCAGTAGCTAGTCTCCCCTTTCCCTATATAAACATCACAACAGATTGGCCCACTTCTAAAAGGAATTTCACTCTGTAGGCCTGGGACCTAACTCACCCCCATACTAAACTAGCCTTGACTGGGTGCCCTAGATTATGCGGATAAAATCTGGTTTAACCCCCCACTGAAGTCAGTCACCTAAGCAGAGAATTTACCCTAGATTTCTAGATATACCTTGTGCTCATAAAATGCCTTTTCTCCAACCACGTCCCAAATGCTGCGAATTAAATCCCAACCAGGGCTGGCTCCAGGCACCAGCTTTCCAAGCAGGTGCTTGGGGCGGCATTCAGAATGGGGCGGCGGTCTGTGGCCCGTGGAGGCAATTCGGCGGCAGCTCTGCCTCTCTTCCGGCTGCAGTGGCAATTCGGCGGCGACTGCTTGGGGAGGCAGAATTGGTAGAGCCGCCCCTGATCCCAACACCCGTGGGAGGCAGGTATATATCAGCCCATTTTATAGAGGGAGAAACAGGCTCAAATTTTCAAAAATGGTCTCCACGTTTGGGTGACTAATTTGTGATACCAAGGGCTTGATTTTCAGAGCCGCAGAGCACCCACAGCTTCTGATGACTTTACTTGGACTTGTAGGTGCTCAGTACTTCTGAAAATCAGATGCAGGGTGCCTCATGGGAGGGGGGGGGGCAACCAAAAACCTCGCAAAAGCCATCTTTGAAAATTTTGTGCTAAGTAACTTCCAAGGTCACATGGCACGTCTGTGACAGAGCCAGAGGAAGCCAGAGAACGGGTCCCAGTCGAGTGCTTCAACTCCAAGACCACCCTTCCCTTTAAGAATACGAATTACATTTAATTTAGCCATACAGTAATCTCCCACTTACCCAGCTCTGCTGTATGGTTAAATTGGAAGGCTCTCCTCAAAGGGCTTTAGGATGTGCTTCTCTCTGACAGTAGATTTGGTCACATTCAGACTGGAATTGTAGTTCATCTGAAAAAGAGAATGGCCTTATTGCAGTTTGTGGTGCAAAGGTGTCCACAGCCTAAAGACCATCTAGGATTCCGTCCCTCCCCCCGCCACCCTCGGGCTGGCAGCCATAAGGTGAAGAGCAAAGACCGAACTGTCCTTTTGTTGTGTGTACAGCGCCTAGCACAATGGGGTCCTGGTGCAAGACTAGGGCTGTAATTATAATTACACGCAACAATAAACGGACATAATTCTTCCGCTCTACTCCACACTGATTAGGCCTCAGCTGGAGTATTGTGTCCAGTTCTGGGCGCCACATGTCAAGAAAGATGTGGACAAACTGGAGAAAGTCCAGAGAAGAACAACAAAAATGATTAAAGGTCTAGAAAACATGAACTATGAGGGAAGATTGAAAAAACTGGGTCCGTTTAGTCTGGAGAAGAGAAGACTGAAAGGGGACACGATAACAATTTTCAAGCACATAAAAGATTGTCACAAGGAGGAGGGAGAAAAATTGTTCTTCTTAACCTCTGAGGACAGGACAAGAAGCAATGGGCTTAAATTGCATCAAGGGCAGTTTAGGTTGGAGATTAGGAAAAATGTCCTAACTGTCGGAGTGTGAAGCACTGGAATAAATTGCCTAGGGAGGTTGTGGAATCTCCATCACTAGGGATTTTTAAGAGCAGGTTGGACAAACACCTGCCAGGGATGGTTTAGAAGATAATACTTCGTCCTGCCTTGAGCGCAGGGGACTGGACTAGATGACCTCGCGAGGTCCCTTCCAGTTCTGTGATTCTAGGAGGATACTGAACTGTCTATATTTTAGTCCTAGAGGTACCTAATCTAGAATAGCAAAGCACTTTACAGGGAAGGAGCTGGCATTGCTGCTGCCTTTGCTCTGCCTGGTCCTCTGTTTGCCGACAACCTTTGGGCTCCATGGCTGTCGAGCTCGTTTTCTTTCCCCTTTCCAAAAAAAAAAAAAAAAAAAAGGAGCATGCATTTCATGCTCACACACCTCTTGCAAAAGAGCATAAGAGAGATGACGCAACACATGGGACTGTTGGTAAACCAAAGTGGAACCAGATTGCTGGCAGGTAAAATTAGAACGGTCATAAAGGAGTTTTGAAAGTAAGGGCTCTGGGGGAAAGCCGACAGGCGCAGAGGAGCACACACTTTGGACAGGTTTCAGAGGAACAGCCGTGTTAGTCTGTATTCGCAAAAAGAAAAGGAGTACTTGTGGCACCTTAGAGACTAACCAATTTATTTGAGCATGAGCTTTCGTGAGCTACAGCTCACTTCATCAGATGCATACCGTGGAAACTGCAGCAGACTTTATATACACACAGAGAATATGAAACAATACCTCCTCCCACCCCACTGTCCTGCTGGTAATAGCTTATCTAAAGTGATCAACAGGTGGGCCATTTCCAGCACAAATCCAGGTTTTCTCACCCTCCACCCCCGCACACAAATTCACTCTCCTGCTGGTGCTAGCCCATCCAAAGTGACAACTCTTTACATAATCAAGTCGGGCTATTTCCTGCATAGATCCAGGTTTTCTCACATCCCCCCCACCCCCATACACACACAAACTCACTCTCCTGCTGGTAATAGCTCATCTAAACTGACCACTCTCCAAGTTTAAATCCAAGGTAAACCAGAACATCTGGGGGGGGGGGGGGGGGTAGGAAAAACAAGAGGAAACAGGCTACCTTGCATAATGACTTAGCCACTCCCAGTCTCTATTTAAGCCTAAATTAATAGTATCCAATTTGCAAATGAATTCCAATTCAGCAGTTTCTCGCTGGAGTCTGGATTTGAAGTTTTTTTGTTTTAAGATAGCGACCTTCATGTCTGTGATTGCGTGACCAGAGAGATTGAAGTGTTCTCCGACTGGTTTATGAATGTTATAATTCTTGACATCTGATTTGTGTCCATTTATTCTTTTACGTAGAGACTGTCCAGTTTGACCAATGTACATGGCAGAGGGGCATTGCTGGCACATGATGGCATATATCACATTGGTGGATGTGCAGGTGAACGAGCCTCTGATAGTGTGGCTGATGTGATTAGGCCCTGTGATGGTGTCCCCTGAATAGATATGTGAGCACAATTGGCAACGGGCTTTGTTGCAAGGATAAGTTCCTGGGTTAGTGGTTCTGTTGTGTGGTATGTGGTTGTTGGTGAGTATTTGCTTCAGGTTGCGGGGCTGTCTGTAGGCAAGGACTGGCCTGTCTCCCAAGACTTGTGAGAGTGTTGGGTCATCCTTTAGGATAGGTTGTAGATCCTTAATAATGCGTTGGAGGGGTTTTAGTTGGGGGCTGAAGGTGACCGCTAGTGGCGTTCTGTTATTTTCTTTGTTAGGCCTGTCCTGTAGTAGGTAACTTCTGGGAACTCTTCTGGCTCTATCAATCTGTTTCTTTACTTCTGCAGGTGGGTATTGTAGTTGTAAGAAAGCTTGACAGAGATCTTGTAGGTGTTTGTCTCTGTCTGAGGGGTTGGAGCAAATGCGGTTGTATCGCAGAGCTCGGCTGTAGACGATGGATTGTGTGGTGTGGTCAGGGTGAAAGCTGGAGGCATGCAGGTAGGAATAGCGGTCAGTAGGTTTCCGGTATAGGGTGGTGTTTATGTGGCCATTGTTTATTAGCACTGTAGTGTCCAGGAAGTGGATCTCTTGTGTGGACTGGACCAGGCTGAGGTTGGTGGTGGGATGGAAATTGTTGAAATCATGGTGGAATTCCTCAAGGGCTTCTTTTCCATGGGTCCTTTTCCATGGGTCCAGATGATGAAGATGTCATCAATATAGCGCA